CTCAGCTGTGGTAAGTTTAAACGGTAATGTTAATGTTACCAGTGTGTCAAAGTACAACCAATAAGCCTAAGCTACGGCGTGCCTAGCAAACCAACATGTTACTGAACAACTAGCCTTAAACAACGCGCATTATTTGACAATAGCATATTTGCCAACATAGCGTTAAGCAATGAGAATGAAATAAGAAACTTAGCAGGAAATTTTGCTTAATAATATATTTATGGGGGAAGCACCACCCCAAGCTCAGCAAGTGAGGAACCAGAGGAAAACGACTGTAGTTACCTGTTTTTTTTTTTTTTAAGCGCTGCTTGTACTTGCTTAGAATAATTGGACTATATTAATATCCCTTGTGTCCATTTGAGAGCTCCGCTAATGAAACATCAACCTTAGAAATAAACAACCGTAACATTGAGATTATGCCGCTGAATACAGCTAACCCCAGTTGAAACGCATGCACAAGAAAGCTTGTTTCATTTAAACTTGTTCTCATGGCCTTAACTATCGGCGTGTCCTCAGAGCGATTACATGCTCTAGACTACGTGTTGCTCCAGCTGTATGAACACAGATGCGTAAATGCTGCTGCAAATATGCTTTTTTCAATTAGCAGACCAGGTAATATACACAGCGATATGGAGTAAAACAGCATTCACTTATCTTAGATGTGGATTTCAAATGTTCTGAAACACGCTGCAACAGTTGATTTGCGAGCAGCGATGCTTAATTTGCTCCGGAGCAAGCTGAAAAGCTGCTGAATAATACTGAATACAGCTTATATAGAAATGCCGCGATAGGTGTCATATTCCTATAGGTAGATGTGATCAGCTGAGAATCAGCTGATGCAAGCTTGACTCACGTGACCTGCCAGAACTAACGCTAAAGCTTAATTTATGGGGTCTTAGGTAGGGCTTATGGCCTGGTTGCATGACGCCACTGTTGCAAAATAGACACTTTTCAGGGTAAAGAACTGATTTTTTTGTGGTTCTGGGCAGGCTTTAGTTTGGATGTTCAAGATCACATTAATTGATGACTCATTTCCTGCTAAAATCCACCAGTGTAGCACTAGGAAGCACTGAACTTGTGCTATGAAAGTAAGAAACATGCCCAGGTTCTGCTGAATAACCTGCTCATAATCGCTCTCAGTGGCTCCAGGTGCATTCACAGACTTCATGTTTCCACTGTGTTTATTAGACTCAGTGGGTCTGGGCATTACCATGTGAGATTCCCTACCGACAGACGCAACCGGCCTATAAACACACACATGTTGCACTGGCTTGAACTCGGCTTCCTTGCGTACATGGGGTGTGGAAGTGTGTTTGGACCTAAGAGCCAGAACACTGGAGGGGTGAATCAGTGTGTGAAACATTCATATACTCCATGTTTCAGTTTTTATAGAGACTCGAGCACTTTTCTTATATGTAGGAACTTCACTGCATTAAAAAAAGGAGCGGTTAGCTATTAGTCAAACGAGATCCGCTAATTAAGTGGAACACATTTTTTTTCCTGCTTTCGATTAGGTTAAAGTACCCCAGCGCCCATCTCCCCTCTGCTCTCAGCTGCAAATAATTCTGATAATTTGGCAGTGGCAAAATTCCTATTCTAATTATGAGCCGTATTCTAATTGTGCGGCAGTAATTCTCTTTTACTACACCCCGAATCTCCTCTTGCTGCTTTTTTCTCAATGAAACATTTCATTTCTGCCAGAAACGGGGAAATTAGCTTTCTTATAAAAGCTTGAGATGTGAAGATAATTATGGAAAAACAAGGCAAGATATAAATCTGCATTGTATTGCAAAATATTTGTGGAAAACAGTATGCAAGTGGCCAAAGAGAATCCAAATTGCGCTGAAATTATCTGTGGCTTTGTGGGAAAAGAGAGTGTTGCTTTTAACAGCATCTGGGGACTGTTGGTTTAAACAGCACAATGATTATTGATTATTAGGCTATTTATTATGTGCTGGGGGCATTTTAAGATTTAAATTTGGTTACATCACATCCAGTTGTTGACACACTAAAGCATCAAGTTACAGGGAATCTAACTGATGCCACTGAGGCCTGGGGCTGATGTTACCAAATTATCACGGCATGCATTATTTTGCTTGCTGTTTCAGCTTGATTGTTGATTGTTGTGGCATACTTATCACAAACAGCCTTCATTTGTGATTGTGCACTGAATATAGCTCGGTTTCAAAGGTATGTAGTTCTATATGAAAATATGTAGCCATGTGAGATTTTGTTGTTCGTATAGAGATATGAATGGTCTTATTACATGTCTGTAGTGCTGTTCTCTTCTCTGTGATAACTCCAAACGTTCAGAATATAAAGGCCTGCTGTCTTTCTGAATTTCCGCATTGCTTCAGATCAAAGCTGCACTCCAAACTATAAAGTGAACGTTATCCGCTTGCCATCAGTTGTGTTAAACTCAACCCTGTGGAAAAGGTTATTAAGATATACACTTTGACTATACCAAATCTTACATTATGCTATCAATCACCACACACAGCTATTTTCAACCTATCACACATACAGACACAAACACTCCGCTGACATTAAGTTCAGCTGGGGTGCAATAAAGAGTCTCTGTTAGGCTGGAAGATCATGTCCATTTCTGTATTAATGCTTTAGAATACAGAGACATTAGACTCATACAGAGCGATTTCAGGATAGATCTTTACACAAGCATTTCATTAAAAGAATCAGCTCTGTGCTGTCATGCTAGCAGGTTTTTTTTTATTTAAGTTTATAACGGTTTTATTATTATTTATTATTATTATTATTATTATTATTATTATTATTACTGGTATTTCAAACAAACTATTACAAATAATTACAATAAAATTAATGTACACCTTATGAAAAAAATAATAAATTTTACATTAATGATCTGAGAGTTGTCCAGAAGACAATCATTGACACCCTTCACAAGGAGGGTAAGCCACAAACATTCACTGCCAAAGAAGCAAGTTCACAGTTCACAGTCCACAGAGTGCTGTATCCAAGCATGTTAACAGAAAGTTGAGTGGAAGGAAAAAGTGTGGAAGAAAAAAATGCTCAACCAACCGAGAGAACCACAGCCTTATGAGGATTGTCAAGCAAAATCGATTCAAGAATTTGAGTGAACTTCACAAGGAATGGACTGAGGCTGGGGTCAAGGCATCAAGAGCCACCACACACAGACGTGTCAAGGAATTTGGCTACAGTTGTCGTATTCCTCTTGTTAAGCCACTCCTGAACCACAGACAACGTCAGAGGCGTCTTACCTGGGCTAAGGAGAAGAAGAACTGGACTGTTGCCCAGTGGTCCAAAGTCCTCCTTTCAGATGAGAGCAAGTTTTGTATTTAATTTGGAAACCAAGGTCCTAGAGTCTAGAGGAAGGGTGGAGAAGCTCATAGCACAAGTTGCTTGAAGTCCAGTGTTAAGTTTCCACAGTCTGTGATGATTTGGGCTGCAATGTCATCTGCTGGTGTTGGTCCATTGTGTTTTTTGAAAACCAACGTCACTGCACCCATTTACCAAGAAATTTTGGAGCACTTCATGCTTCCTTCTGCTGACCAGCTTTTTGAAGATGCTGATTTCATTTTCCAGCAGGATTTGGCACCTGCCCACACTGCCAAAAGCACCAAAAGTTGGTTAAATGACCATGGTGTTGGTGTGCTTGACTGGCCAGCAAACTCACCGGACCTGAACCCTATAGAGAATCTATGGGGGATTGTCAAGAGGAAAATGAGAAACAAGAAACCAAAAAATGCAGATGAGCTGAAGGCCACTGTCAAAAAAAGTCTATGCCAAGACTATAGCCTCCAGTAACCAGTGGGCAAGTCTTTGTTTGGAGACAGCCTTTCCCTTCTGCTGACCTCCAAAGCAGACAAAGAGCTGGTCTGAGGTCCTGAAGCTCCGTGTACGGTCCACGTAAATGCGCAGAGCGCAAACGGGACAGAGCAGAGTGATGGCTGAGTCTGCCACCTCCCGGGGCAGCGCTTGCAAGTTCACCACCGAGGGGTCCCTCGGCCAGAGAGTAAAACAACTGGCTATGGGACGTGTCCGGGGAGGCAAACAGTTCTACCTGAGCGTCCCCAAAGCGTCTCCAAATCAGCTGGAATGTCTCGGGGTGGAGTCGCCATTCTCCCGGAAGAGCGGGCTGATGTGAGAGCTCGTCGGCTGCACGATTGAGCTCGCCTGGGATGGGAACGGCGCGAAGCGACCTCAGATGCTTCTGACTCAAGAGGAGGAGATGGCGGGTTCCGCGTCGAGACGCCTCCGTCTGCTTCTGTGCGGCGTGGAGAACTGTTGGGCAGAGCCCTCCACCGCATCGCCGAATAGGCCGGCCTGGGAGATCGGGGAGTCCAGGAAGCGATGCTTGTCGGTCTCCCTCATATCCACCCAGGTCAGCCATAGGTGGCGCACCTGGACCACCAATGTGGACATCGTCTGACCCAGGGCCCACGCCGTGACTTTCGTCGCCCTAAGCGCGAGGTCCGTCGCCGTGCGCAGTTCCTGCAGCACACCTGGGTCAGCACCACCCTCGTGCAACTGCTTCAACGCTTTGGCCTGGTGGACTTGCAGGAGGGCCATGGCGTGCAGGGCGGAAGCGGCCTGTCCAGCAGCGCTGTAAGCCTTAGCCGTCAGAGCGGACGAGAACTTACAGGCCCTGGACGGAAGGCGTGGACTACCCCTCCAGGCGGCGGCGCTTTGCGGGCAGAGCTGCATGGCAAAAGCGTGCTCAACCGGAGGGATGTCCACATACCGCAGAATGGCAGCTGCAGCACTACATATATATATATATATATATATATATATATATATATAATATTGTACTTCATTTTAAGATTGCTTTATCTGTGAAGGATACATGTAATGATGCCTTACATTTGAGATGAGATGGTTGATCTTATAAAGTCAGCATATGGTCCTTTCTTTCTTTCTTTTTTTTTGCTTTCAATAAAAAAAATCACCTCTGGTTTCATTTTACTCCTTCTTTAACACTTTATGTGACTCTATGTGTTCACTGATGGAGGGGGTAGAAAGTGGCTCTGGCACATTTACAAAACAATGTCTTTCGTCCAAATCAGAAAAAAGTGACAGCAAATAACTTAATTCTGCAAATAAAGAAGACGTCCAGCTTTTAAGTGACTCCAGATTTTGAATCTGTAACTAAAGGCACAGATAGTTCTCAGGGTTGATGTGCTTTGCCTTACAGGCATCAGGCCATAAATCAATCCCACCCTACTGCCTGTCCATCCAGCCAACACACGTCATGACCTGCTCCTCTGTACGCCACACTTAACACTGCTCTTATCTTATCTTACTTTTTTTTTTTTCAACTGCTTAAACAGATTTTCAAAAATTTACAAATCCAAGAATTGCACACACAAAATGCAAAATGTCTCACATCTCTTGCAAAACGAAGCACTGCATTAAAAATATCACAAACACATCTCAAAATAAATAATTTGTCTTTACAAACTTCTTTGCCATAATATTATGTATATATATATATATCCTTCCAAAATGCTCTATGATAATCTGATCTATAGATGTCACTTAAGTTTCTCCTTCGGGGTGTGTGTGTGTGTGTGTGTGTGTGTGTGTGTGTGCGTTCTCCCCACATATTGTATCATTAAAAATCCTTCTTATTTGATTGCTTACAAATGGAAATTGCACATCTCAACCAGCCACATAATTTGTGATATCACTCATGTCCATAATACAAACATTGAGGGATAAGTTACAAGCCTAAGTGTAATTAGAGATATGTTCTAATCACAAACCCTGACTGCCAACAATAGTACAAATTTTAAAAGTAACACCACAGATGAATGCAACACATTGCCTTCCTCTTTTTTTGCTTCACATTTCAAGTACATGCTCTCATGTCACACTTTCTTTAAAACAAACCTCAAGAGCTGGAGCTATGGCAATATAAATCAGTTTTGTGGCAATAACAGATTTCACATTGCATTAGACATTCTCTCTAGAAAAGCCAGTCTGCGCAGGCAGCTAAAAATACATCTGTTCATATATCATTGATACGTTCATTAGAGAGGGGATGCAAGTCAGGATTTATTAGCCGCGGTGGCGTAATGCGGCTTGACAGGGATGCGTCCCTGACACATTAACTCTGTCTTGTGTGTTGTGAATATACAGAAGGGCGTTTTGGTGTAGTGTGGATCTTTTAGTGATGTAGATGTTATATTTCATATTTCTGCCAGTTGTAATTGCTTGAATGTAGCACTGAAACTTTGTATTACTACCACGTCTCAGTTAATTGCTTGTTATATTCCTTATTTGCAAGATTCACTGGACAAAATAAATGAATAAATGTAAATGTAGAAATATTTCAATTAAATGCTGTTATTTTAAACTTTCTCTTCATCAAAGAATCATGAAAAAAATGTCGTTTTCCACAAATATTCCATAGAAATAGCACATTGAGCACCAAATCATCATATCAGAATGATTTCTGAAGGACAATGTGACCTGAAGACAGGAGTAATGTCTGCAAAAAAAAAATCAGCTTTGCTGCCATCACAGAATAATTTACATTTTAAAATCTGATAAAATAGACAACAGTTATTTCAAGCTGTATTATATCAAAATGTTACACTTTTTGTATGTGTACATACTGTATATATGGTCAAAATTGTGAAAGAAAATTCTCTATGACCTTAAAAAAATAATTTTACCTACACATTTCCATACATGGAATGATTTCTTCTATTTAGATATCTAAAACTTTTTTCTCCTTTCAGAAATGCACCATTACCACTGCACATTGTCCATATCACAACTAACAAAACTAGCCAAGGATTAATGAACTAACCACAGACCTGTATTATGATGTGTTTTAAAGAAATTTTGTCCCCAAAACCTAATGAACACTCAAATAATACAGTTCAATTCAGGTTTATTAGCGCTTTTAACAATGCATATTGTTTCAAAGCAGCTTTACAGAAAACTTATGTTTCTTACAATATAAGGAGATGTTGATTTAAAATATAAGGACATTTAGCATTTTTGTATTGCATTGCAGTAGTGACGGACATAAACGTTTAATTTTAAGTTTTTGGTCTTATATTTCATCAATATGTGTAATATTCATTGTATTGTGACCAAATATGATAATGAAGTGGTTATAGATGGTATATATTTTATAGAAAACAATCACACTCTTTCAGTCAGATGTATTAAATTAAAAATAAATAATTTTGTTTATAAATAATTTTGACAAATTAATTTATCTTAATTTGTGCACATTAAATCCTTGTTTGGGAAATTGGGGAAAAAACTCTATTTATGCATTTAATTTATTTATTTATTTTCTGCACTGCTTACAGAATCACCCATATGTCTTTTTTTTGTCCCCAGATCTCAGCACCACAATCAGCACAGGTCTGCCGCTGTGTGCTGTGGGACGGGCGAGAGAACACGTCTGGCAGTGCGTCTCCTCCCGTCACTGCTCGGTTTGTCCTGCCATCCACGTCCTCATCTGTCTCAGATCAATCTGACCATTCTCCTGTTCAGCGTAATGTGGTTTCCCCGTCTGTACCTTCATTACTGCAGCCAGTGGCTCTTCCTGCAGGCTCAACACATCCCCATCAACAGGTGAGACATACATAACCCTTCTCACAGAACAATCATTCGCAAGCACACAGTGTCAAGCTCATCATTATTCCAAACGCACAAATACATGCAGAAATATTCCAGGAGAGTATATGCTGACCTTTACAAATGTCTACTTACAATAATTCACTGGAAACACAAACTCATATGCACAAATATGCATGCAGGTGATTCATGCGCTGTTGTCGTATGTCATGTGTGTGCATTTATATGCATGCAAGCAAACGCACACACATGCACTTTTACAAGACTTTAACTACCTCATGAGGGGAAAGTCGATTTTAACATGCGGGGGTACGGGCCTTTTAGTGTGCATTATTTGGAAAGAATTTAACTTCTCTTATTGTGTGGACAGCATTTTATCATAAACCCTGTGTGATACCACAGCGTGGTTCTATTTTGCATGTGGTGTTCATTTAATTTATCATCCAGGAGTCATTCAATTACGCACCAAGTTGTGTTGTTGCCAAACAAATCCCATCATTAAATCTCAAAAAACGACTGACAGAAGATAAGAGGAATGCAGAGAAGGACAGATGAGGGAGAAACAAGTGGAAAACACAAAGCTGGGGTCATAGGCTCATGACATGTTCCACATGTCTGTCCATTTGTCCGCTGCGAGCATTTCTCTACAGGGCTGGTGACCACAGTAGCGGTCAGAGATCAGCTGCAAACTGACAGCACACACACACACACACACACTCGCACGCCCCGCAGTCATTAGCATCTCTCTCTCACTCTACCCCACGCACATTTCATTACCCCCAGCATTCTCACGAATACCACCCCCCTCTACTCCTACACACACAAACACACTCCAAAATCAGCACACAACCTTGCAGTGCCAAATGAGTCCCACCCGTCTACACAACAACATGTGTTCTGTGGATTTTATTGCACCACAAGCATGTGGAAAAACTCTTCATTACCAGCACAGGTCCTGTTGTAAACGTTGGAGTGAGTTGTGTTAGGTGGCTAGATCTGTTGACGTAATTAACAGCATCCTAAAACAGAAATAAAAAGTGCGTATTGACAATGGATTGGAATACAATTAAGAGATCTGATTCTGCCGCATACAGAATAAAAGTAAATCAAATGAAATTGAATCTTGAATGCATTGGAATCAAGCTGAATCTCGAGTCAAATCAAACTGAATCTCGGACTATAAAATAAAATGTAGCAAAAGTTGAACTGAGTCAAGTTGAATTGAGTTTAATTGAATCTAATTTAAATTTTACTATCAATCAAAAATATCATCTTAAAAATTAAACCTTAATAAAAAGAGATATAACATACAGTGAGTGTTGGAAAGTTTCATACGATTTAAATGCTTGAGAGAATGCTAGAAAATCCGGAGTACTGAACATGTGCAGCAGAAATGGGCCGAATAGGTGAAATGAAGAGTGCAAAAGATTCTCAGGTAATGGTAGAGAGGGATTAATGAGCAGAGAGATGATGGTAGATTAGGAAAGACATGAAAGTGTCTGTAAAAAAAAAAAAAAACACTACACATCAGCGTAAATTCTTAGACATTTCATTTTGCTGTATTTTGTGCAGATGTTCAGTGACGGTTCTAGGATTTCATCCATAGCGGGGCTTAGCCCTCGGTGAGAATGTGTAGCAAGATGATGCCATTGCCTCTTTGTAAATCAGCACCACTATATTACTATAAAGTCAGAAGTAGGATACCACTAAAATTGCTACCAAGTCAATATAAACATTTTATAATGAGTCAGATACCAGTCTGCAGTAAAGTTCAAATTGGTACACATGTAGGCTACTGTTTGACTAACAGAAGAAAGGTCATCATAGTGTTGTTATTAACAAGTATTATAGTTAACTCTCTAAAAAACAAAAATATTGACTCAGGACTCAACATTAAGGAGTTTTTCTACTGGCCTGCTCGGGCCAGGAGATCAGATATTTTACTTGCCCTGCCAAAACATTTCACTGGCCCTGCCTAAATAAGTAAAGTTATTGCTTTCATTATTTTTTGACCTATGTAACCTTACAATACCAATAGTTTGGATACCAGTGGAATTTCACAGTTCTCGACTCCAATTTACGTTAACAGCAAATACTAATACTAGCCTTGCTAATATTAAGTTCAAACATTGAAGACAAGTAAGCAAGCATCAGATAACAAATTACAAGCAATAGCACACATAAATACAATACAATGCAACAAGTAAATTAAATAAATATTACTTGTACAGAGTACCTGTGAAAACTGTATTACTGTATGAAGGAAATACACAGATACCTATTAAAGCTACACACGTTGTTTAGTTAAGAGCAGTGAGTAATTCTCTCTTTTTCTTTTGTTATTTGATTAACATTATTAACATAGGAAACAGAAGGTATGCAGTATGTGGTTGTTGTCACTTTAAGATCTAATGCACAGATTTGTTTTATATTGACACATCCGATATTTTCACATGGGTATTCATTAAGAACTTTTTGGTACTCGCATGCTGTCTGAGAGGTGGCTTTCTGTGCACACACACAGAAACAATTTGTCACGGTGTGGGATTACAGCATTGGGATATCTTTCATCCCATTTTGCACTTGAATGGCTTAAATCACTTGAATGTTTAAACTGACAAGTCTTAAAAATATGTGAAATGATAAACTTTCTTTAGGAAAGCAGCACTGGCCCAAACGTTCAGTTATAATTTAGACAGACGGGGGGACGAAGCACCCCTAAAAAGGGTCTAGAACTGCCCCTACCAATGTTTTTATTTATTTATTTTTTTCCTTTTTCCAACTTCTTAATTATTGTTATAAATGTATAAACCGATAACTCAGATTTACTTTACATCCTGCCTAACAACTGCACATACTCTAATTTGGAATTACTTTAGTTCACAATAATTGTCTTATGCAAATTTCTCATTTATTTTTTATTTGATTATCTTACGTTGTGGGATAAATCAACTTCTCATCATGTCTCTCTCTGGGCAGATTTGGGTTGGGTGCGCACACGGTGGATCTGGTCTATCAGGGTTCACTGCTGTCTACCCTGGAGGAGGTTCTGCTGGTGCTGCTGGGCCCCCTGACCTTGAATGCAGCTACGCTACTGCTGCTCCTGATCAGATGGGGCTGTCAGCTAGCATTTGGCTCACCGCCCTCCTTCCTGTCAAAGTTTATCATGGCTGCGGCGGTGTGGACAGTGCTGGACCCTCTGGCGGTCTTTGCTGTGGATGCCGTCCTGGGGGTAGGTCACTTAAAATAACGTGGACACTTCTGCACTGTAAATAGAAGTTTCACATTATCTTAGCAAAGTCACTTTACAAATATGAACTGAATGTGAGGGCAAGGATGGGATAGACGCACTGTAGAGAGAAATTATTATTCAGGATTATATGTGTATTTTGGGTTGGAAATGTTAAATACTACACTATACACAATGCTAAATTACAAAATATGAATTAAAAAAATAACATCAGACATGACAAAGGTTATTTTACAGATGTCACTATATGGACTGAAAAACCTAGGACCTTTGCTGGATGACTAGATAGATAGATAGATAGATAGATAGATAGATAGATAGATAGATAGATAGATAGATAGATAGATAGATTAATGAAATAAGAAGGTACTTCTAGAGCAGGGGTTCTCAAACCTCTCCATGAGCTAGAGAGTAAACTTTCATCAGAACGCACTTTTAAAAAGTGAACTTTGTAACAAAAATTGCACTTTTAGATTTTAAATGGACTAAACTTCAGCATCATTACAAATGTGATGTCAATAGAAATGACATTAATGTATATTTTAATTTTCCATGAATGCTCTTTCACCATATTTATATATTTTTCGCATTTTTTAGCCATATTTCCAAGACAATAGGATTAATTATGAAATTGCATATAAAGATGTGGGTCAAAAAAGATAACTGATAAAACATTTTCATTAGGGCTGGGTAAAAAAATAAAGCTATCTCGATTTTAATCGATTTTCATTTTTATGAAACGATATCGATTCTTAAATCCCAAGAATCGATTAGTCTAGACTGTTCTCAGTTAATGGATGGAACGGGGTGTACTAGAACAGGCTCTCATACTAGGTTGTTTGAAAAACACATTATTTTTCACATAGTTTATTACAACACCACTCTCCTCAGTCTGGCATGAACGGCTCGAATAGTTCCGGTCTCAAATGAAGGCCCGCCTTCTGAAATACGAAATGTGCTGTGATTGGTTAGCTGGGCCAGTGTGTATTATGATTGGCACCACTCGGCTCCTGGTCGGAAAATGTCATGCCCCTTACCATTGAGGCATAGAAGCCTGCGAACTTCAGTGTAAATATTGCGTCAAAATCAAATCAATTTAAACGCGATTTAAACCCGGATGATTGTAACCACTCTAAGTTCGTCTGCCTTGGGAGAGCTAGCGTGTCTCCGACATAGTGAAAACACTCGTTGCCTTCTCTAGTGCAGCTCAACCAGGTCTCGTCCCATTCGTCGATATTTGTGATATCACAAATCCCGGAAAATATACTCTATGTTGTAGTCCAAACGAGTCGTTCGTTGTAGTTTTTGAAAAGTGATTTCTGTTAAATAAAGTATCTTCTTTTGAATTGGACTTTGAGCTTTGTAACATTGCAGATGTTTTTATGCTCAAACAGCAACATTACAGACTAACTAAAGTTGAAAAAGTGAAAAAGCATAATAGGACCCCTTTAATTATTATAAAAACTTAATTAAGTGCAGTTTAAGCAGTTTTACAGCACAAATCGTCTCGTTACATATGTAACCCTCTTTCTCTGAAGGAGGGAACGGAGACGTCACGCCGTGACCGGCAAATTGGGATCTCGTTTAGAGAGACCAAAACACTTAGAGTGTAAACTAAATGAGCCAATGCACATTGGCATGCGATAATTGCATCCATACCAGGTGCAACGCGATTTTCGCTGAGGAGCCCGAGCCGGTAACCCGGCCGCTCAGCTGTGGTACAGCGGCCGTGGCGAGGGGACGTGACGTCTCCGTTCCCTCCTTCAGGGAATGAGGGTTACATACGTAACCGAGACATTCCCTTTCAGTTGGTCACTATGAGTCATGCCGTAACCGACAATTTGGGATTCAACCAAAGCGCCATGGATGCTGCCCCTTCCAGTGTCCTGTGTGAGCCGCCTGCGCCCCTTTTTGGTGTAGGCCGGGGATCGCAACAAGAAGACCAGTCACTGTTGTCATAGCACTACCCCCTCAGTGAGATTGGATAACACTGGGAAAATGTACCCGTTCCACTTGGAACAGGAAGCCCCATTCTTCCCGAAGGAGGTTTCGGAAGCATTTACACATATGAACATCCGTTTAGGTGCATATGGAAGATTAGAGGTGATTGTAACCCTCTTGGAAATGGCAGAAGTCTGCCAGGGAAACACTGGCTCTGAGGCTATAACGTGGACTTTACACATATGGGAACCACTTAGGCCTTTTACATATGGAACCCAGCCCTCTACCGGTTCTCAAGGATTCATCAAGTGAAGGCCTGGCGCCGGACGTTCCAGCATGTCTGGCTGCCGAGGGGATGGAGGAGCTCGACAGGGTCTACAGTACGGACACTCTGGAGCGGTTTTAGCAAGCCGAAGCTAAACTGGGGCCTCTCAGTGCCTCTACCCATTTGAGGTGAGAACACAGGAGGATACAGGCTCCACACGAAGGCTATAGAATCTAGGGGGTCGCCCAGCCAGCAGCTCTACAGATATCTGTCTGCGAGGCGCCACGAGCCAGCACCCAGGAGGATGCAACACTCTTAGTAGAGTGAGCTCACAACCTGAGCGGCCAGGGCACACCGTGTGCCTGTTAAGCCAGGGTGATGGCATCCACAATCCAGTGGGACAGCCTCTGCTTAGAGATGGCCTTCCCCTTCTGCTGGCCTCCGTAACAGACAAAGTGCTGGTCTGAGGTCCTAAAGCTTTGTGTCCGGTCTACGTAGCATCTTAAGGCTCGGACGGGACAAAGCAAAGATAGTGCTGGGTCTGCCTCCTCCAGGGGCAGTGCTTGCAGGCTCACCACCTGATCCCTGAAGGCAGTAGTGGGAACCTTGGGAACATAGCCGGGCCGCCAGCATGTCTGGCTGCCGAGGGGATGGAGGAGCTCGACAGGGTCTACAGTACGGACACTCTGGAGCAGTTTTAGCAAGCCGAAGCTAAACTGGGGCCTCTCAGTGCCTCTACCCATTTGAGGTGAGAACACAGGAGGATACAGGCTCCACACGAAGGCTATAGAATCTAGGGGGTCGCCCAGCCAGCAGCTCTACAGATATCTGTCTGCGAGGCGCCACGAGCCAGCACCCAGGAGGATGCAACACTCTTAGTAGAGTGAGCTCACAACCTGAGCGGCCAGGGCACACCGTGTGCCTGTTAAGCCAGGGTGATGGCATCCACAATCCAGTGGGACAGCCTCTGCTTAGAGATGGCCTTCCCCTTCTGCTGGCCTCCGTAACAGACAAAGTGCTGGTCTGAGGTCCTAAAGCTTTGTGTCCGGTCTACGTAGCATCTTAAGGCTCGGACGGGACAAAGCAAAGATAGTGCTGGGTCTGCCTCCTCCAGGGGCAGTGCTTGCAGGCTCACCACCTGATCCCTGAAGGCAGTAGTGGGAACCTTGGGAACATAGCCGGGCCGGGGCCTCAGGATTACCTGGGAGTCAGCCGGCCCAAATTCTAGGCACGAATCGTCGACCGAAAGTGCGTGTAGGTCCCCAAACCTCTTGATGAAGGCCTGCGCAAGCAGGAGCAGAGTTTTCATTTAAAAGAAACTTTAGCTCAACTGACTGCAAAGGCTCAAATGTGCCCTGCTGTAGTGTTTTAAGCACCAGAGACAGGTCCCAATAGGGTATGGAGGGGGGCCAGGGAGGATTTAACCTTCTCGCCCCCCTAAGGAACCTGATGACCAGGTCATGCTTCCCTACCGACTTCCCTTACATGGGGTCATGGTTAGTAGCAATCGCAGCAACATAGAATTTAAAGGTGGAGGGAGACAGCCTTCGCGCCAACCCTTGCTGCAAAAAGGAAAGCACGACCCTGATTGGGCATTTCCGGGGATCTTCTTGGTGAGAAGAACACCACTCGATGAACAGGTTCCACTTCAAGGCGTAAGCGTGTTTTGTAGACGGTGCTCTCGCTGAAGTCACGGTGTCAGCAACCTCTTGGGGTAGGTAACCAAGGACCTCCGCGTCCCGACCAGGGACCAGACATGATGTTTTCGGAGGTCTGGACGTGGGTGCCACAGGGTGCCCCGTCTCTGAGTCAGTAGATCCTTCCTCAGAGGAACCTGCCAGGGAGGGGCTGTCGCGAGGAGCATTAGTTCGGGGAACCAAGTACGAGTGGGCCAATATGGCGCCACAAACAGTACCTGCTCGTTGTCCTCCCTGACCTCGTCCTCCCTCGCACACAGCTAACAACTCCAGGCAATTGATATGCCAGTGCAGTTGGGGGCCCGTCCACACCCCGACACTGCGTGCCCATTGTACATGGCCCACCAGCCGGTGGTGGAGCCATCCGTGTAAACCACAGCAAGCCTGGAGACCTGTTCTAGGGACATTCCTGCCCGGAGGAACATAAGGTCTGACCACGGGGTGAAGGTTTGGCGACAGGCCGGTGTAAATTGGACCTGGTGTGTTCCGCGCTGCCACACCCACCTTGGGACTCCTCGGGAATCCAAACAGTTCAGCACCGACCGCGCACGTTCCTCTGTGAGGCATGCTGTGGACCACGGGGTGAAGGTTTGGCGACAGGCCGGTGTAAATTGGACCTGGTGTGTTCCGCGCTGCCACGCCCACCTTGGGACTCCTCGGGAATCCAAACAGTTCAGCACCGACCGCGCACTTTCCTCTGTGAGGCATGCTGTGTGTTCGACCGTATCCAACTCCATACCGAGAAAAGAGATCCTCTGAATCGGGGGGAGAGTTTGCTCTTTTCTCAGTTGACCCGAAGACCCAACTGGCTGAGGTGCCAGAGCACCAGGTCCCTGTGCTCACACAACTGATCCCGAGACTGTGCTAGTATAAGCCAATCATCGAGATAGTTGAGGATGCGAATACCCTGCTCTCTGAGGGGAACAAGAGCCCCCTCCGCGACTTTCGTGAAGACACGGGGAGACAGGGACAGCCCGAAGGGCAGGACCTTGTGCTGGTATGCACGTCCCTCACGTCCCTCAATGCAAACTGCAGAAATGGTCTGTGGCGCGGAAGGATCGACACATGAAAGTAAGTGTCTTTCAGGCCGATCGCTGCAGACCAATCTCGGAGACGGATGCACCTGAAGGTACGTTTCTGAGTCAACATCTTGAATGGAAACTGGTGAAGGGCCTGGTTCAAGACACGCAAGTTCAAGATTGGTCATAACCCACCGCCTTTCTAGGGTACAAAGAAGTAGGGGCTGTAAAACTCTGTATTTGTATTGGCAGGAGGGACCGGCTCTATCGCATCCTTCGCCAGTAGGACTGCAATCTCCGCACACAAGACGGGGCATCGACCGCCTTCACTATCATAAAGCGGATGCCACTGAACTTGGGGGGACGCCGGGCGAACTGAATTGCATAGCCGAGGCTGATGGTCCGCAGAAGCCAGCGAGACGGGCTTGGTAGCGCTAGCCAGGCACCCAGATACCGTGCAAGTGGGACCAACGGAACCACAACCACACCCGCTGTGGGGCAGCGAGGTGGAATGCAGGGACCCAACTCGGGCGGCTTGTGAGCATACCGAAGAGGGGTCTGAGTGTGCGGTGCAACGCTTACCTGGTTCCACAGTTGGGCAGAGGGTGCGTGAGTAGGGCCTTTGTTGATGCTCTCGAACCGCCCACTGCTGCCTGCTGGCGATGGAGGAGGATGAGTGTGGTCTGGTGTTGGTCTGTCCGCGACTCTCCGTGCCCCGGGGCTTCTTGCTCTTCTGCTCACCACCAGGTTGACGGGGGCCTGGATGAGTGTGGCGGCCTGCCCACGCCCAGCTCCACGGCGCTGCTAGCTTGAGGCTGTTGCGGATGCGGCGTGGGAATGGGGACGGACACAGGGGGCCACCCTCGGCGACGACCAGGCTGGGGTGCTGTGGCCAGTGGACGGGTGGAGGAAGCAGCTGCCTGCCGGGGAAGAATGTGACGAATCGCCTCATTCTGCTTCTGTGCAGCCGAGAACTGCTGGGCTAAGCTCTCGTCCGCATCGCCAAAGAGGCTGGTCTGGGACACAGGGGCATTAAGGAACTGAATTTTGTCGGCGTCCCTCATGTCGACCAGACACAGCCAGAGATGGCGCTCCTGGACCACAAGTGTGGACATCGCACGATCCAGAGATCTCGCAGTGACCTTCGTCGCTCGGAGTGCGAGGTCAGTAGCGGTTCGGAGCTCTTTCAGAACTTCCGGATCGTGACCACCCTCGTGCAGGTCCTTCAGTGCCTTGGCCTGATGAACCTGCAGTAACGTCATAGCATGTAAGGCGGAGGCAGCTTCTCCACAAGCCGTGTAAGCACCGCCGGTCAGACAATGCCTACAGGCCTGGGAGGGGAGCGACGTGTTACCCTGCCAGAAGGAGGCGGTCTTAGGACACAACTGCATCACTACCGACCGTTCCACCGTGGGGATCGCCGTATATTGCCTTTGGCGACTCGACTGGTTGCGAAGCGCTAGAGGAGTGATAGTCCCACGAAGGTTGATTCCCTGAGGGGTTTGCCACCACTGTAACCCTCAGACCGCCTGTGCTACTGCCCGAAGTAGTCCACGCCTGGCTGCCGCCAAGCCGAACACTAGATCGTGGCAGAGGCAACGGAGCTCTGTCCTCTGGAGGAAACGGAGCCTGGTCCGCAGCTCCGAGATGGTCATCTTCCCGCAATGGGAACATGACTCGTCCACGAATGCCAACTCAGCATGTTTAATGTCCAGACACGTGAGTCAGCGATCGTGACCACCTGGCGTCAGGTAACGACTGCATCCAGAAACGCACGGGTGAAACAGCATCTTCAGAAAGACGATCCGTACAAAGATGCACCCGTGTAAGCTCTTTTAGAGAAATAAGCTCTTTCAGGGAAATGCATTTTTAGGTGCTGAGACGCACAGGGAAAATGGCCGCTTGCAGCACGACAGGGGGTAGTGCAGCCTGAAGTGCGCAACCCACTCGACACAGGAACGACCACCGATGAAGTGCCGTCCACCAACACAAGAAGTTCCCTAGAGTGCGCTAAACTCGTCACACACGAAGCAGTTGGTAGGAGCAGAACGATGTTGTCACTCGGCTCCGAAGCGAAAAGCTGGTATGCGTTGCACCGGCTGCCTTTTTATGCTCATGCTGTGATCAGCGGAAGCTGGATGCAATTATCGCATGCCAATGTGCATTGACTCGTTTAGTTTACAAATGTGCATTGACTCGTTTGGTTCTCTAAGCGAGATCCCAATTTGTCGGTCACGACGTGACTTGTAGTGACCGACTGAAAGGGAACAGTCAATTTTAACCTTCAATATTATAATGTAGTACCAACTGAGTCTCATGTATCAGTTACACAAGCTTCAGTCTGGATCCAGAACACATGAGAAGAGATGATGCCAACCCCTCAGAGGACCCCAGATAATGCCAACCCTGAAACAACATACAGAACTACCACATTTTGCTATAAGTTTGATTGCATCATATAATAATTGCTGTTAATAGTGTTCATCGTCTGTTTGATTACGTCTTTAATTGATTTTTCCGTACATTTCCGTACATTTCTGCCATATGTACATTATTATTGATATTCAGTGTGAACAATGCAATGCAGACACTTTTATTACATGCATGTAATAAAAGTGTCTGCATTGCATTGTTCACACTGAATATTCTTTTAAAGCATATTATTTCTATAATACATTTTTTTAAAAGTATGCACAAGTGTACTTTTTTACATTATTTAAAATAATGCTTCCCTACAATGATAAATTAACAGCAAAATTAAATTACCAGAAAATAAACAAACAACAGTAGTGTGAAATGTTTATATGATCAGAAGGTCGGCTTTTTAAAAACATGGAGACACCAATTTAGATCCCAGATTAATCTTTTTTTTTAGTTGCAGCTGGATGTATTTGGTTGCATTTATTGCAGAATTTGTGGCTAAAATGGGCCAACCTGAACATGGCAGAGTTTTTCATTTTCTACCAATGATATGTCTGTATATTTATGTTTTATATAGGTGAGACAGTTGTGATTTTGTGAAACGTGTTTTGTTTGGTCAGCGTCTGTCCTACAGTGCAGAGGAACCATTAGCAGATGCTGCTAAGATGTACTGGCATTTCTTTCGGATTGAGCAGTCGGGCACAGCAGGCATCATCATCACACTCTTCTTGTACGGTGTCCACTGCATCCTCTCCTTCACCTTCCTTTATGTTTACTTCCTCAGGTACAGAATCTTAAAAACAATCTAACAAACACAAAATCAGAACTGTAGTTTGTAACATGCCTTTATGCCACTGCAAATCATTTAACATTTTGCTTAACATCGAGCACCCACTTTTGCAGCAGCCTTTGGTTCTGGAACTATTTTTCTCAATCATTTACACCAAATGCATTTTTAGAACATTTTTCAAGAACTTTAAATCTTGAACTAAGTCAAAGTTTTAATCAGAGTCTTGAACTGAACACAACTAGCTCTGAATCTCACTGCAGATTTGTGCAGTACTTGTAGTAGTGGAAATTAAACACTTCATTCGAACACTTCATTAAACACTAAATCATTTCTAAATACATTTTGGTTTGGGAATATAATTCTCTCTAGGAGTGTCATCCTGGATGAGCTCCAAATTTAATCAAACTGCAGCCAGATACAGCAAGCAGGCCAGGACACATACATTGATAATGCAGTGTAAGGCCAAACAAAGTAGTTTTGCTTTCACAACGAAACACAGTGTCATACACGACGGGCTAGAGAGAGCGGAGACCGGAGGCCGGAGGCCTAGAGTGAGCAGAGGCCGGCGGCTAGATTTAGCGGCAGCCAGCGGCCTAGAGTGAGCGGCGGCAGGCGGGCTTGCGGCAACCACATGTGACGACCCCAGGCTATTTCCTCAGTGACCAGCACGGATCAGCTCTAGGCATGACGAAGCGGATATCGTCCTCTTTTGGAAGGCCAAACAAAGTAGTTTCGCTTTCACAACGAAACACACAGCGCCTTCACGACATGGTGGCAGCGGCAACAACAATACTACAGTGAGAATAAAAGTTACGCCTTCTTTCTTTGCGTGAACATTTGGGCGGCGTTATGCAAATCTTCCCACATCGTGACGTAGACATGTGGGGGCGTGTTAGAATGAGCCATTTTAGGTAGGCTTGCTTGACTCTTAACTTTTATAAAGAATATCTCTTTGGATTTTAAACTGTAGTCTTTGCAACTTTACAGATCTTCTTCATGCACCAAGAGCTTGTAACACTCCAAAGAGAAAGGACAATTTTAATCCTTTCCTCTGAACAGGCCTAATTCAGGGCATTTATTTTATAGAGGAACTCACCTGACCTTGACGAGGCGTTCTTCATTTGACAGTTTTAATTTAAAAGAGGGAGAGAGAAAACAGAAGGCTGCTTGCAGGGCAGCCAAACATGTCAGCAGAGGGATATATTAACATACAACATATATACCACACATTTATATTTAACAGAAAGCAACACACATTGTGTTATAAATGTAAATGGCTTGACATTTAGTTAACAGCAGTGTTTGTAGTTTGTATATGGTAGGGGAAAATGCTGATGTTGAGAGAAAATATTTAAATAATAAATAGATAAAAAAAGAGGGATGGAAGATGAGAGGATTAAATTATTTTGGCACAAAATTTTAGTTTTTTTCTGCATCCAAGCAATAAATGATGTCTATCTTCAGAAATGGAATTTCACAATAAGAACCTAAATGTAGTTTTCTCTTTGCCGTTATTTTTCCTGTCAACTTGAGAGTTTGTGTTTGACCTTCCTGGTGGAAGTGTCAAAAGTGTCACAACACTGCAGTCCACACAATCCAGAGTCTGAGATTATGGCAGTGTATTTTTGGACAGGGAACCCCTGAGGGACATCCAGCCAATGAAGTCCTGTCCACCAGCACATAAGCATCATAAACAGGCCCTATCAAGAGATTTCTGCTCATTACCGTCATCTGACAGCCAAGTGTTGATGTAATGCAATTTGATTTAATACTCTCATGAAATTAAAGAATAAATAATCAGAGAAATGACATGAAGATGAGCTGAAATCACCACAGGGTTTGTTAATATGCATGACAAACGTAATGAACATTGGGGTTTATGATTATATTACCAGGAACCAAATTGTGATGTGTTTTGAAATAATGTCCACTAAGGATCATGCACAGTAAAGGATTGGGATTTTTTTCTTCTTTGTTCAAATTGCTGTTACTGGGCAAGAGAATGATACACAAAATCATATTAACCAAAAATGGGAAACCTTTTAAGGCTAAATTTGAACCAAGAAGTTAAGAAATGCATGTGGCAGATATAGTTATGGAATCGACTGTTTATGGATTTATTTTAATGTACCATCCCTGTTTTGAATATTTAGATCTTTAATCACACAGACTGTAGCTTTAAGGACTGGAATTAAAACAAAGGACCCAAAACTGTAACAACCTGATTTTTCATTAATCAGTGTAGAATGGTCTCAGAGAAAGAGCTTTCATCTTATTTCTCAATGGCTGGACGACATTAGGTGTCAGCCGTTGAGGCGGGTGATGTCTCATGTCAGTGTACGGCTCTAGGATGGCAGGGTTGGTGCATGTAACGTGGGTTAAAGCTGAAGGGTGGCTGTGCTGTGTGAATGTAGGCCAGCAGTCTGATTGTGAGTAGGCTTGCGCATTTTTATGGGTTATCTGCTTCTATTCACTGTGTGGAGAGAAGCACTGACACAGTGCCTGACCTATTTCTAAAATAACGCCTGAGGCTACACGTATAGATAGAATGAACTGTTATCCGTTTTTAATTACATTTTAGCAAGCCCTGATTCACTTCCTGCAAAGCAGGAAAAAAGCATGTTTTGCATTTTTTTTCATTCCGTTTGTCAGAAAATATATAAACACAATCAGACATTTGATGTGGGACCACAGGTGAACTTGTTATTTTGAAATAAGAGGTGAATAGTGGCACAACTGAAGTGTCTGTTTTAAAGCAGTGAACAGTGAATGAACGGTTCTCCTCTTCAACATCTGGTCAGTTGAGAGGCTTTCAAGCTGACAGTCTTGGTCAAGAGGCAGATTGATACAAAAATGTGCTACATGTAGTTCTCCTGGTTCGTTGTTTGATTCCTGATCCTTAAATGTCTGTGTTGAAATTTTGTCAGGAATATTTTGTTACAGACAATTTCAAATGGTTAATGGCAGGATTGTTCAGTCCTGTTTCCATCTTCAGAGTTCGGTATCTAAAACACTTGCGATTTTTAATGAACCCCAAAACCTTATTATCTTGTTCTGTGCTTTAAAGCAGGGTTGGAACTTAACCCTGATCTACAGGAGCCGGGCTGAGTACCAATGGTTTATGGGATGTCTTGGTTTCTCATTCATAGCTTTATATAACGTATATAACATATAGCTAGACAAAACAACTGACAAACCCAAATTCTCTGGACATTATTGGACTGCTTGTACACCTTGTCATTAAGATTTATTTGGATGTCTTAAGTTATAATAGAAATGTACACATTAAATTTACTTATAACTTTGCTGCTTGAGCAGGCTTTTCTAATGGCCCAGCGCCATAAAGATCATATTGATTACACACAATCACCCTCATACAAATTCTAAGAAATGTGTCTTAGGATGTGCCTCCTTCTGGGTTGTTTGACGCAGTCTTGTCATCTTGGGCCCAGGCTCACGTTTTGAGCAGGGCTGCAGAGTTCTGCTGAAAGCATATGATGAGGTGCACCTGAAGCAATGTCCAAACAGCACACCTGGAAATGTTTGATGAATAGCAATGGACATTTCTCACTTTAATTTACTTAGGGTCCAGATTTGGGCCTAGAGTGGCAATGGAGCATTCACAGTGGAGATTTAGGACATCCTTCCATACTCATAAAGACTACAAAAGAGCACACAAGCTACCACAAACCTTGGAGTCTATCTGGTTGAGGCCATCAAACTGAGCTTTTTTTCTGCAAGGCAATGAACATGCTTATAGAGTGATGATAGTTTACTGGATGAGTTTACTGGAAGAACATTTCAGGAAATCATAAGGTTGGAGACATCTCTGGTTCTGAAACTGAGGAGAAGGGTCATCATCATGGGCCTCCTATGACCATCCCAGATTCACACTGTTAGCAAATGAAGAACAGTTATTATTACACCAAGGATATTAAGGCATGACACACCAAGCCGACCTCCATTCAAATCGGATTTTTGGCCGATTGAACATGTTGAATCACAGTGAGAGAGATCACTCTCAGCCTTTTTGACTATATAAGTCTTCTATGAAAGAGATGGTATAATATAATGAATATAATGTTATAATGTTCAATAAATATAATGTTACTAATACATACAAACATACTAAAGTATGATTGTTAATGCAAGTGCAAATGGTGTTCTAAACTTCCTCAGCCTGGAATTAGTGTAAACATGAAATGAAACGTGAATATAAATTGGACTATTTGCATCCTCATCAGTATTGCCAACTTTAACTTTGCAGTTTAATGCAATATTTATAAACTTTTCTGGCACCTTTAGCAACACCCCAATGAGTGGCTGAGAGGAACAATGCATTCAGTTAACAAATTCAAACAAATATAAAGTGCTGACAGCAGGCAGAATGTAAATACAATGTAACAATGACATGAAAGTGCTAATTAGCGTATGACACCTTTTAGTGTCATTTATTAAAGGGGTGGTTGATTGCGATTTCACTTTTTTAATATTAGTTAGTGTGTAATGTTGCTGTTTGAGCATAAACAATATTTGCAATAAAGTTCAATGCAAACGGAGATATCGTCTTTTAAAATTCTGGCAGTGGAATGCCTACAAAAACGGCTGGTAGGTACTACAACAATTTACTTCCCGGGTTCGTGACATAACAAACCCAGATAAACCCCGCCCTCGGGAAAAGGCAGTAAAGGGGGTGAGGCCATGCTGCGCTGCTTTAGAGAAGAGGAAGAGAAAACTAGATCGCGATTCTGTCTTCTAACGATTCTAATGGATTCACAAGTTTCAAAAATCAATGTTCTAAAGCAGCGGTTCTTAATACTGTCCCTCACGTCTCCCTGCTCTGCACACGCTCTGCATCTCTCTCTCTCTCTCTCTCTCTCTCTCTCTCTCTCTCTCTCCCTCTCTCATTCAGCTCAGCTCCAACAATGAACTGTTCCAATTATACACTTATTTTCACATAGCTATGAGAAGCGTTAAACATGGACACGCATGAAGTTGTCGTACTGTATTAAAGCTTTAATCAGGATAAAACCGAATATTAAAAGCTAACATAAGCAGTAGCATTTACAAATAACAGCATATCTAAAAGTATGAGAGAACAACCAACAAAAAACATTGGCCTACCATTAAAAGTCGTGCTTGCACAGGTTCTGCACGATCCTCTTCAATAATATCCTCTGCTTCTCAATCGGGGCTCAAAGCAGATAAGCGATATTAACAATGCCGTTGTTTATAATACAACCAGAGCACATGCCGCTAAGGTGAGGGCCGGGACGATTAGACGTGCACTAGAGGCAGTTTAGCCAATCACAACACACTGGGCTAGCTAACCAATCAGAGCCCATCGCCTATTTCTGAGGGTGGGGCTTCATAAAAGCAGGAAATGATCAGCATGATCTTAGAGAAGGGACAGAGCGGTGTGGAATAAAGGTAAATTATGTGAAAAATAATGTGTTCTTTTAAAATGATGCATTGACACATGTTAGACTGCCCCCCATAAACACAATCAAGCCTAGAAAAAAAAACAGTGAACCACCCCTTTAACATTTTATGCAGGCTTTAGCTCCATTGAAAGTAGTTGGCAAGTAGTTGGACTAATTTCAGAAGACCTGTTGACCTTTCCACTGGTGCCCAGGTCCCCTTGAGACATACCAAGGCTGCCACCAACACAATGATCACCTGACCTCTCTACTATGGACCAACTGCCCCATTACATAGCCTGACTTTGACTTTGAAAAGCTAATCAAGGTGGGGGAAAATAAAATCTGCTTTCAAGCTTGTTTTAGGCCCTGTACACAAGGAGACCCGTTTAGCTGTATACATAACAATTTTGTATCGTATCAGCATTTAGCCCAGACGGATCCCGCATTTTGGGAGCCTGAAACTGCTATTTTGTGAAACTGGGTCCTAGAGTGGATAAATCTGAAAACTACACCTTTATGTTTACGTAACAGCAACAACAACAACAATGGCGAACTACATGCTTGTGTTCGTGCTGCAGAAGCTTCTGAGCCTATTAGCTTTACTAAATTTACTAGCTTTTCTTGTTGTTGTGTTGGGTTTCTATACAGTGTGCAATGTTTATGCGCATGCGCCAAGTCTTCTTCTCCATTTGTGGTGTATTCTGTGGCAGAATTACAGCACCACATAATGGTCTGGAAAGTATACTACATCGTTTTGAGCCGGTTTCAGTGATTTCATGTGTACGCAGATATTTCTTGAGACAACGCCATGCTTATGGAAGAACGAGGGAAAAAAAAGATAGGATAGGAAAAGCTCTGGCTTTGTGTGGATGAGCCCTTAGTCATCTTAAGCCAATTATTGATTTATATTTTTATTTCAAAAATACTAAAGTTCATCATGATTCTAAATAGTTTATTATAAATTCCTGACATACAGTAAGACATATGATTTTCAATACATATTAATTCACATTAAGTCATGTACTAAGTAAATGATAGAATATGTGTACTCTGGCAATATTTTTTCACTTTGATCATAAATTAATGGGTTATCGTCATTCATGCATACTTAGGTCAAGTGTACATGCCATAGCAAAGCAATCATCACACGCTTTTTTTCCCCTTGGTAGAATGATGGATCGTTACATTTCACAAAGCCATACTGATTTTCATCCTTTAAACTTTGCATGGTAGATGTTTCATTTTCTGGAGTGCTTATTACCCTTCTGAGCGAGAATAATCTCTTTTCTGCAGTGGAGGGTCAAGACATTTTGAAGAGAAGCCAAGCTGTGTGTTTTCATGGCTGTTGATTCATGCACTGTCTATGAGTGATGTCTGAGGAGGTGCCACCTTAAGACTCAATATCAAATAACCACACTGTAGTGGTCATATGACTCACAACTTCCTCACCAGACAGAGATTCAGATACCTCTATGAGCTCAGCTTCTTTGAAGAACATTAGGATCTAGGTATGATCTGAAGAGACAGCCTTCCCACAAAAACACAAGCAAACAAGCCTCCTACACTGCCTTATGATTTTAAAATCCAGCATTCAATGCACCTTCTCTGTGATGAGTGAGAGAGGAGGCTTTATTTGATATGCTTCAGAAGCTTACGACCCACTAGAGGTCCAAGATGGCTGTTCATTCCAGCTTTTTCTTGAGTAGAATGTAGGGGAGAAGAAAAGACCAGAATTAGTTAACAAAGGTGTCAAACCTAGACTAGAGTCGCTTCTGTTTTGCCGGTTGACATTGATGGGTCAGGCCTGCTTTTCTGCCGAGCTGAAGCTCATCAGAATTTCACTCTGTTGAAAAGGTCAGATGAGCTGTTCATCAGACGTTAACAGCCTTGACAGCAAAATGACCAGGATGTGACAAGGTGGCATAAAACCCATTTGAACTCTGAACTTCTCTGCTGCAACTTTGTGACAAACCAAGAAATAGTTTACTGATCATCAGGTCATCTTTACATGCCCTCCATGCCATTGAAACCCTTTAATAGTTGCTCAGTTCTAATATTATGTGAGAAACAGATGGAAAAATGTGTTAATATTATTTGGGGTCTCTCAAATATAATTCATAATTGTGTTTGTTTAAAAAAATGTCACCTTTAGGAGCAGAAGATCAAGATTAACATCATCAACACTGAATGCCACTGGTTCCTTCATGTTACATGACCAATTCGGATTTAATACATAGTGTATTTTTGTCTTTTTTTTGGAGCTTGGTGCTATAAATTCATAATTCTGCCAAACATTTCTTAACCTTCTACTTCTTTTAACAGACTTCACAATGATGGGAGACTATTAGATATCTACCTGCGGCTCCACAGCACTGAGGGAGCATTCTTTGTTCCACATGACATGGAGGTTTCCAACCAGGAGCTCAATTACATTGTAAAGAAGGCAGAGCAATGGAGAGGCTTCAATGGAGAGAGATGCAAGGTAAGTGTGAGGAAGTTCTTACCTTTTTATAGTGGTAACAACCAGCACTGAACACTGGTCGAGAGAGAATATATTTTTGCATCAAGGCGATCCAGCTGCCATGGGCTGCATTGCCACACAACGTTTGAATGTTGCAACGCTCTACTCAAGTCTTAGGTGCTTAATTGGATTAATGGTTGTTTTAAAGGAGATGGGCAAAATTGTAGTTGATACTAATCCATCAGATTGCCTCTGCAAAAGATTTCTGTCTGTCTGATGGCTCATAGATGCCCGCTAGCATTTGTGAGTAAGAAAGCCTTTGTGATGGTTTTCAGAAATGGACCGTCACATTGAACTGTTCACTGAGCTTTCTAATATGCATTATAATTAACATAAAATGGAATCAAAGGATATAACATTATTCTGTTTTCTTTAGTTACATTTATGAATGCCAAAAATTTGTCACAGAGGTTTTTAGTTAGTCTAATTAGTTTGGGCTAATTATCCAAAAAGGAATTTGGCTTGATTAATCCACGGAAATCAATTTCCAGCAATATTTCATTAAGAAAAAAGACTGCTCAATCAACAGTGGCACGCATGAGGACACACACACACACACACACACACACACACACACTGAGTTCACAACTTGGGTGGCAACTCCTCTTTTAGTGCTCTTGATGAAGAAATGTTATTGGTTGTCAAACAAGTCATTAAAAAGGAATTCTGCAATTCCTAGCTCAAATCGTAGACCTTTGCAAATCATGTTATTTTTGCAACCCTTTGCAATGACCCAGTTTATGTTTTAGATTCAAAAAGTACTGCTGCAGCTGTGGAAATATTAGTAATGAAGGTGCTACTAATTGGATGCAGTTGTTTAGATTGTAATTAAGAAAACAGCATTGTTTAGTCTACACACTTGCAGAATCTTTTTCAGCTAGAGCGGTCTCCATCCCAGAACTGCAGTCATAACCTCCTCTCTCATATTGGCCCTAATTTGCCGTTATTGAACTGATAAAATGCTAACACATTAAACACATTTGCCAGCATGATGAAAATTTAGGGTTATTGCATTTCACAATTTTTACATTATTCAGGCTGACGATTTTTCATTTAAATAAGACGGGCTAGGCCATTATTTCATAATTATTGTGGCAATTTCTCTATGCAAAAAGGGTCACTTTCCCAACTCAGCAAAGACATATCCCTATTAAACTAATTTGCCTACATGCAAATTTTTGTCATTTTTCCCTCATTAACTATTTATCGACACAGTAGAAAAAATATATGTTGGAGGGGAGGGAGCAGCCAGACAGTGCTGAAACTAATATTTTGCAACTCTAATGATTTTTTGCATCCTTAATTAGATAGAATATGCTTGATATGATTAGGCCAGGATGTAGTAGTTTTCATTAAAAATAGATTTCAGAAACTGTATTCCAAATGTTCTCTCACAATTAAATAATGAATCCAGCACATTCCTTATTATGGACCCAATTAATATCTCTGAAAGAGGCGTGATTTTAATAACAAGAGGCCACGAGGCCTTCATTAGCAGAGAATGGGGGTGGAGAGAGCATAGAAAACATTTACAGGTACAGACAGAGCCACAGGACGCTTGGAAACTTGAAAAGTTTTAGCAGCTTGTATGAATGCCTGTGGCCAATACTGTACATGTGCTGACCATTGCGAACAAATATTACAGTGTTGCAGAAACTGACATACTTTGTCTTGGCCTCAGCACATCAAATACCAAATAAATATCATCATTACAATACATATAATTTATCATTAAAAAAATTTAAAAAAAAAATGTTTTTTTTATACATTGTGAGTATTTAATAGCATTTAAGACATCAAAAAGTGACAGCAGTGTCCTGCTATACTTTATCTAAAACTGCTAGCCTTTATTTTTATTTTATGAAGTTTTAGCAGCTTGTATGAATGCCTGTGGCCAATACTGTACATGCGCTGACCATTGCGAACAAATATTACAGTGTTGCAGAAACTGACATACTTTGTCTTGGCCTCAGCACATCAAATACCAAATAAATATCATCATTACAATACATATAATTTATCATTAAAAAAATAAACAGTTTGTTTTATACATTGCGAGTATTTAATAGCATTTAAGACATCAAAAAGTGACAGCAGTGTCCTGCTATACTTTATCTAAAACTGCTAGCCTTTATTTTTATTTTATGAGCTTATAATAATTAAGATGGAATACTTTTTTTTTTTTTTTTTTTCAAACCATATCATCATATTAATGGACGGCAAAAGAAAAAAAAAATATTGTCACTAGCAGAAATACTTGGGTTTTACTCCGACTGACCTAAAATAAACTTTCAAAATACATTTTACCTAAAGCAGTTTCCATGTAAGTTGTCATCTAGCCTATACAAGGTTATTAAAGCTAATAATTTGCTAATTTTAAGTAACTTGATTCCTGATATGAAGCACATTTTTCTTTATAGAGCAAAGAAGCCGTTCTGACACTAAAACAGTTATGGGTAATTCTTCATTAATGTAAGTTTCTTTTTCCGAGCACTACAACAATAAAACAATCCACAATAAATAATTTTGCACGTGACCTGGTTTTATCGTTATCAAATTCTGTATGTTTCATGGGGCGATCATAAAAACTAATCTGATTTTTTACTCTTTAATTAACTTCACATTACAGTTTATTTCCTTCTAGGCCATGTGATCAGCATTATTACATTATTAACACATTGTCATACTAGCATTCAGCGGTCACTGAATAAAAATAAGCACTTGCATTTAACAAACACGTACAGTATGGTTGGCTACATCGTAGTTTGTGGGTCTTTTGCTGAGAAACATTTCTATGATGGTGATTACAACCACATAGGCTTTATGTTCTAACTGCACTCCTATAGTGTGTAGCCTATGTCTAGCGAAGGGGCCTAAAGTCAAAGTGTGTGGATAATGAGCTCATTAATTATGTATAGGCACTGCTGCAGATGGACCTCATTAATTGCGTGCCGTCACCTTCTTGATTACTGTACCTGGAAGGGAGGTGCTAATGTCTGCCGTGCTTAAGCAGGTAACGCAAACTGTTTTGTCACCGGCTGTGTGACAATGACAGAGGAGTCCGGCGTCGCCGTAATCTTCTCGGTAATTCACCAGAACGTTACGCTAATGGCTGCTGATAGCCCTGGAGATGTTTTCGCTACTGAATCGCATCGAGATTTGTGCTCTGTCGTGCTATTTGTCTCCACATGTCTCAGTAATGTCTTTCCACGGGCTGAATTTAAGGAACACCCTAGGTGCTTTGCAAAACAACTGACAGGGGGCCCAACCTGTCGCAGGAAGGAGAACACACGCATTGAAGATCTAATGAGGAGCAGACTGCCGCTCTCTTCCTGTGCGCCCCCCACCACTCATCTCTCTGTCTCTCCGTCTGTAATTATTAAGACGGAGTTACGTGGGACCTTTTCATGCTTTTGCTTTAGTCCAACTCTGTGACAGCAAATTCATCAAATAACTCACTCCAAACTTTCTCTCTCTACAGTTGCCTTTGCTCAAATGATTAAATATTGTCACCTATATGTAATATTTAAGAGTCGGGAAAGCAAATATTGCTTCACAATTAATATCTCCCTTCCATTATGCTATACTGTCGAAATGTTTGGGGTCAGTACGAGTGATTTATTTGTAATTATGTATTTTACCAAAATGGAATTATGCTGCTTTGCATTAAAGGATTAAAATAAATTTCCATTGTATTTTTAAATTTAACTGTTAAACTGGCAAATTATACTGTATTTTTGATAAAGCAGAAACAAATAAATGCAGGCTTGTTAAGCGTAAGAGACTATAAAAAAAAACATCTTACTGATCCCAAACTTTTAAACTTTAAATACATATTACAATATTACAATTAAAAAGCACTGTATTACTAAATAACTGCAAATTTAATACAATTAATTTACTAATAAAAATTCTAACATTGATCTGCATTATAGTAAGCAGAATTTTGAGGATCATTTTGAGTGCTTCACTGTCACAATTCAAAATTCCTGATTTTCCTGGGAATCAAACCCAAGAATTTGGCATGAAAAGCTTTATTAAATTAGAGAATGAATCATTTGTTTTACTTTTTTTTTTGTAGTCCTACATACAATTTATGGCTTTTCCCAAAATTATCAGCTTTAGTTCTCACCTACAAAAGCTGACTAGCGGCCCATTACCGACAAGGTCCGGAGACACTGTCAGGTAACAATGGGCCTGAAAAAGCCCTGGAAAAACAACCAAAACAGGAACATAAACACTGGAACGAAGGGGGAAACTGCCCAGAATCTGCCCTGATATAGGAAGGGTCACAGGAAGGCACCTGCAGCCCTACCCCCTCCACTCCGCCGGCCTGTTTGCTTGCATTAGTTCTGAAAGCCGCTTCTTCAATTACAGGAGGCTATTAGTGGACAGTGCACAGAGGCTGCAGGGCCCCGGGCTACAGCGGCACAGCCACACAACAGAGCTCAATATGACATGACTGCAGAGGGGACACGCCTGCCATGCAGAAAAGGTCAACGGCTTTCGGTGGGCAGCAATGTGTGAAAGTGTTGCAGTCACACAATGGTTTGGGAAGAGAGAGACACTAGTCTGGATTTGCGTGGAAGCCCCTCAGATTGTCCTTGGCTAATTTATTGCTTTGGTGTGCTTGTAAAGCTCGTATCTCATTCAACATCATCAGTTTGGTCGCTTTTTTATGGTCACGGTTAAGTCAGGATTCTACAATGGATGGGTAATCAGTAAATCAGAATCTTAGCAAGTGAGCAAGAGTTAGTTCACTCAAATGCTCTGAAAACATGGCAGCACTACAATTGTTTTTATACAGCGCTTATTTTCCACATACCAGGCTGGACGTTGGTTCTATCAGAGATGGACGTTTCTTTTAATTTTATCCGAACATATTGCACACGGTCAGCTGTCAAAACAATTGCAGCCGGGAGTTTGAAATTGAGTCCACATGTTTACTCATATAGATCCTG